GATTTTTTAACGGCCTTGGTTTTCGTAGTTTTCTTTTTCTTTTCTTTTCTTTTCTTTCTTTTTTCTTTTTTTTTGTTAGAAGAAACAAAGACAAACCTTATGCTAAAATTGCATGCCCGTTAAATGAATGTTGAGAAAGCCACTTATCATTGGAAACTTAATCATGGAATACGGAATTAAAAATTGTGTCTTCTGGTTGAATCATAACAATTTAGATCGTCTTTGAGTTTATATCCGGATAGTAAACCAGGCAGGAATCTAGATTCATCGTTCATGTAGATATAAAAACGTAGGGAGTACGCCCTCCATTATCAGAAATGGGATGTTCTCTAATCACCTATATTCATACTTAAATTCAATTCCTTAAAATTGGGATGTGCCGATGTGGATTAGATTGATTTAAATTGATAAATAAATATTAATGAAAGGTTTTCATCATTAATTCACCTAAAGGGAAACTATAACAAGTGGGTTCAATTCCAGAACCCAACTGAGAAAAATGATTGAAGAAATATAATACCATGTACAATTAGTTGAAAGTTTAAACTACCAAACAAAAAGAGGAAAAAAAAAACAGAGCATACAGCACCAATAGGCCTACAACCGCCTTCTCTGAAATAAATACTGAAGTAATACTCGCTTCTCCTAAAGCTCATACATATTATAAGTAAAGATGTTTCTGTCATGGTTTCCCCAGTGACCATTCTTTTTGTGTATAAATGCATTGACACTTTATGTGTTCGAGCTCATAAAATGAGACTGAGCTACTTGCTTTGCTTCCCTCCAAAGATGCCTTTGAACTCCTGGAATGAATCAATTTCATTTCTGCAATTAGCCAGGAGTTGCATGCAGTTGTTACCACCAAAGGGTCACCATCCTAGATTTGGAGGGGCAGAAACTTGTAAGAATTCAATCCCCATCAATAGGGAACCTCACTTTCCTTCGGGTGATCAACCTTGAAAGCAACAATCTTCAATTCTTCATGGTGAAATTCTATAACAAATTGACTATTTGTTCAGGCAGCAACCTCTCAATCTGAATAAAAAATCTCTACACGGGAAAATACCAACCAATCTGACACACTGGATCTTAAACTTATTAATTTAATAGAGAATGATCTTTGTAATAAAAATAACTCTATAGCTCAGCTCTATGCCAGAGTTTGAATCATTGGGTCTTGCTGCCAGCAATCTCATGGGAAACAACCCACCCTGACTGGGCAACACTTCCCCGCTTGACTTCTAGTTGGAAACATTCCAGATGATCTTGGCCGACTTAGCTTAAAATTCCTCCATATATCTTAAAACAAGCTTTAGGTACACCGCATTCCCCTCTCCCTTTGCAAGCCTTAGAGGCTTTATGGTGTTAGGAATAGTAACAGTATAAAAGTTGTATTCAAATCCCTGTATTTTGTTCCACCAAGAAGATTGTGACAAAGATTTAGTTTAAAGAGGCCCTTTAGATTTTCCCACTTTTCAAGCTGGATTACTTCTTTAGGCAACACCACTTTGTTAAGTCGAATTTTTTAGGAGGGAATAGCTTGTGGGGAGACATACCTGCAATCCTTGGAAACTGTCAGCAACTTCAATTATTGCAACTTTCCAGAGTCAACCTTAATGATACCATTTCCATAAAACTTATGAACCTCACCTTTCCTATTCTCTGATTGCTTTAAGAGGCATTCAAGAACAGATATTTCCGGAAATAATTTGACTGGAGAAACCACGATATCTAGAGGAATTTCCGTTTCTAGAGACTTTTAATCCTTTTTCTTTTCAATAATTTGGAGGGTGGAGTACCAAAAGAAGAGGTATTTAGAAATAAAAATGCAATTTCATTACTTGGAAAAAGTAATAAGCTCTGTAGAGGCATTGCAAAACTACAGTTACCTACATGTGGAAATGAAGCACACAAGGTACTAAGTGCAACACCAATCAAAATTATAAACCCAATTGTGAATGGGGTTTCATGTCTGGCAGCTCATTTGTATCTCTCCTACTCTTTATTGGAAAAGAAAGTCAAGAAGAAACTCTCTTCCACATCTTCTGAGGATAAACTTTTAAAAGCTCCCCATCAGGAACTATTCAAATCAGCTAATGAGTTTTCTTCAGTTAATTTGATTGGTAAGGGAAGAAATGGTTCAGTATACAAACAAGTTGTTGCCACAAGTCCTCAACCTTCAGCAGCAACTAACTCCCAGAAGTTTCATTGTAGAAATTCAAACTGTTGCTCAAGTTTGGATCACAAATGTAAATGATTTTAGAGCTCTATCTTTTCTGAATTCATGCCCAACTGGAATCTAGAGGAGTGGTCGCTTCCCAAAGTAGAGAAACATCAGATAAGGAAATTGAACCTTACCAAAATACCAAACAGAAGCCTCTGCATTGGACAATATACGTCACCATTGCCATGAAAAAGTTATACATTGTGATCTAAAAGCCAATGAATGTTCTTCTAGATGATGAAATGAATGTCCACGTTGGTGATTTTGGGCTATCAAGGTTCATTTTTGAGATCTCCATTGATATTTCCTCTCAAAATCAATCTAGCTCCTTCCAGCTAAAAGGAATAGTTGGCCACGCTACTCCAGGTAATACCTCACTCATTTTTCTATCATTTTTACTTCTATTTTTTAATTGTTGCAAGTTGCCTAGTTTGTTGATTTGAGTTGGTAGACTCAAATCATTGGTCAAAATAACCAGTGAACACAAAATATTTAAAGTTTCTAGTCTACAAGTAAATATAAATACATAGGAACCAACCATCATAAGTAATATTAGCAAGAGCAACATACCAATGGTAACCTTTAGCAATATTGCTGGGTATGTTTACTTGGAAAAATTTGTTCTTTGAGTTTCTATTAAAACAAGCTTTATATAGAACCATATATCCCATCCCATGAAGTCAATTAACTAAGGACTAACACTTCTCTAGCTCTCTACAAAATTTGTTGTAGTCTTCTCTGTGCAAAAGTATAATTTTCCTTTATCACCTGCACAAACTCCCGTATATAAAGGAAATGCAGAAATGGGCTTTAAAATACAAGGAGGACAAGTCTTTTCTTTCCCCACTCGCTTCTGCACTTGCCATTCATTGGTTATCCTCTTGGAGGTGCCATCACTTATAAACATAAAAAATCTTGCCATCATAAAATAAAAAACTTTACTTTTCCCACTCAGTTTATCCTCAGTTTAGCTCACAATTTCAATAAGTTTTACCAGTATATAATCGTAATAGTAACAGACTAAATATGTCATTTGTAACTTGCAGAGTAGGGTGTTGGTAGTGAAGTATCTACAGAGGGGAACATGTACAGCTATGGAATCCTTTTGGAGATGTTTATGGGAAAGAGACCTACAGATGACATGTTCAAGGATGGCCTAACCCTTGATAAATTTGCTGCAATTGCCTTTCCAGAAAATGTAATGGAGGTTTTGGATCCAGAAGTCCAGAACTACTTCAGAAGATGTCAAATGTGCGGATAATGGCAACATGCAGTAGCATGAAACTAAGATGATGGACCATCTGGTTCTCTCAAGAGAACAAATGGTGAAATGGGCATTCAAGATGCCATCAAAGATATGCATGCAATTGTGGACTCCTTTCAAGTCAATAATTTGTATGATGGCTTGTAGTTCTCTCAATGGGAAAATTGCCATACGAGGGAAGACACTAATTTCATTCAACAAAAAAAAGGCTTCTTTTTATGATCTACATTCAGATCAAAAGTACCTTTTAATAATGGAGTAAAACAGTTACAGAACATCTCATGCCTGATGATATCCATAAAAAACCAATAATATCTTCACTCATCCTACTTGGTAATGTTGTTCATTCATTCATCCTACTAAAATATCTTCTTAAAAAACAATTAAAATTATAAAATTATTATTTTTTTGTGTGAGAACTAAAAATTTAGGACCCTAACATGGACTTATTTGGGCTTGCCTCGAGTGGCATGGCACAAAGACGACTCATAGAATTAGGAATGTAATATCTTTTACATCATATTAACTACTTGAAGTAATGCAATTGAAAAAAAAAAGAGATTGTGGGCTTTACATGCTTGAAAATGTTTTATATGTTTGATTTTATTTTTAAATTTTCATTTGAATATGCTTTACATGTTATGTTTATGTATTTTAATTTTAGATAATAGGTTTTTTAAAACCATTAATTTTAAAAATTAAGTTTATATTTCTTATTAATATTTCTTATTAATATTTTTTATTTTTTTGGCATTTTTTTGAATTTTCTGACATTTTTTTTTATTTTTTTTTATTTTTGTATTTTTGCGCCTTGCTTCAAAAAGGTGCATATCTCGCCTTGCACTTCTCGCCTCGGGCGCAAATTGGCCCTTGCGCCTTGCACTTCTAAAACATTGCAAGGCATAGTATAAGCCTTAAAATAATTATGGAGGCCACTGTATTAAGATAGGTGTTTTCTTTTGTTTTATTTGTTTTTCAATTTTTCTTTGTGTTGGGCGGAGCATGGCCACCCTCAGGTTTTGATTAGAAAAGATGCAAGTGCATTTGTGTTGAAAAAGGTTTATTTAATAAGGATTGGAAGAAAAAAGTTAAAAGAATAGCTTGAGAAATTCAGGCCTTTTTTTTAAATGATAACTATATTATAAGGAGACAAAATGTCCATGAAAGGAAGTACAAGATCACTCCCTCAACAACATTGAATTAAAAAAAAAAAAAAAAGACAAACCCATCCATACAGACCCGCAAAAGCACTGATACCGAAATTTGCCATCAAACTTGGGCCGAATTCCCCTCTCGATCAAATAAGATAAATATAAATCGCGAACATACGAAACCTAAAATTCCAAAAAAGAGTTTGAAAGAAGAAGACAGTGCCAGAATTGGTAAAGAAATATAGTACACTGAAATTAACGATTAACACAATTTCAAAACCCTAATTACCATTGCAGACTACTCAACACTATAACTGAAACAAATCACCCAACCAGGAAAAAAAATGATGAATTCACGAGAGAATGCAGAAATTGAAATTTCAGAATCACATTAAGCATAATTCTATACAAAGGCGAACTGAAATTAATGAGGAGGTCCTCTCACAAAAAGATCAAAAGCGAAACGATCCCAACTAATATTCACACACAAAAGGTTTGTAATTCATGGATCGACGTGACAAGACAAGATCGAGCGCACCTAGTGTACATAAACATGATCAAACACTTGCTCTCACCGCTTGGCATCGTAATCGACGACTTCCGAATCGGTAACAGATCGGGAGTGCTGGACGATTGATCGTCCGATCGAGTTGATCCATTCCTCCTTCTCTTTCTCTGAATCGGCGATGAAGTACATGGTCTCTCTATTGGTGGAGAGCTCGAAAGCGAACTGTTTATTGAGGACGTCTTCGGCGCCCTTGACGGTGAGGCAAGTTCCGACGGGGATCACGCCGCGGGGCTTGGAAGCACGTGTGACGTACGAGTCCTTGAACCAGAAGAGCTTGCCTTGCTTGAGAACGAACCACCGGCGACGCCATGTCTTGATGTACTCTCCCTGCTTCGTCAGCCATCCGGTACGCTCGGGATTCGACCAAAATTCCACTCCGTCGTAGTCGTCAGCCTTCAGGGATGCACCTGTCGCGGCTCGCCAAAGGCTCGCCATCGCTTTGCTCTGCTCGCTCGTTGTGTGTGGAGCGTCGAAGAAAGTAAAGTGCCGAGAGAGAGAAGAAAGAATATCTCAAGTCTTAAACCTTTAACCTTAACCACCGTTAGTGTGGGCCCCCAGAGCAAGGTTGTCGCTGGAACGCCACTGTGTATGGATATTAATCATATATCATATGAGATTATATCTAACCTTTCACCACGTAAGGAGAGAAAACAGTGGGCGAAGTAACAACTAACAACCGACAAGGAGAAGTGGAGATTTATATGCAAGTGCAGGGTTTCTGGATCTGGATGTATGTATCCATCAGAGGCTCAAATGCCATATCTGCTCATCCCTACACTCGGGGAGTCGTTGATTCAAAACCCATTCGAAACTAGTGAATGATCTCGTACTAACAGTAAGGTTAAATTTAGGTTAGGAAATTAATAATGTTAAATTTATATTTATTAATATTTTAAAAAATAATTTTTCAATATGGATTAAAAATGGTTGTTGATAATTAATTTTGCTTTTTTTTTCATTTTTTAGGAATGTATTAAAAATAGTAATAGTGGGTTGTGGGTTTTAATAATAATTTTTCAGAAAATATCATGTATTTAATTTTTCATAAAAATGAAAAGGTTATATGCATGAATAGTGGGAATTGCCACAGGTCTAATTTTCTAGAAAATGAGAAGGTCATTTGTCTAAATGGCGATAATAGGCTGTAAACTTTACAAAAAATTTCTTATTTGAATATTTACTAAAGAAAATAATCCTTTGAATCCAAATCTGCTCCTCACACCAACTTGATAGCAGATTGCAATCTGCATTTGGGAACATGGAACATCATGGATTCATGGGGAGATGTTACCCATGTGCAGCTCTATAATGCGCCAGGTGGTTGTTAAGGAGTGCCACGTGAGAAGCAGAAGCTTCTTAACTATAACCAGCCAGAGACTACCAATTTGCTAGGTGACACCTTATATTCTTTTCCTCTAGGAAACAAAAAGTAGATTATAGTCTTAATTTGGTCCCCAAATTTTAAAACACGATAATTCAATATCTAGACTTTCAAACTGCAGCAATTCGGTACCTATTGTTAATCAACCGTTAAGTGACATGTGAAAAGACACAAAGACATTCTAGGTATTATCTAATTTTCTTTATCAACCATCCAAATGTCATTCTCAAAATTATTACAATGTTCATTATCTTCTTCCTCAAGAAGATGAAATAAGTTTTTGAAATCCACTCCACAAAGTAGGACGAGTTCTTGTTTTACAAATTGATCAACTGCTCGTCCACTTAGTACTCACCTTACTTCTGAACATAGCTGAGATAGTAAGATAGCGGCCATGGCAAGGGTCATCAGCACATATCATGTTCTTGGCATCCCACAATTGCTAGTCAACTCTCAGACAACCAAAGCCTGATATTGTTGAGAACCACATGAGATCAAGGGAGCAAATCCGACCATAAAGAACTGGACAATTCACGGAAAGCTTCCTCAGATCAGAGTTCAGCTGCCCAAGGAACACGAGACAACGGGTGACACCACTCATGATTGCAGAGATCAAATGGTTCAGATCGCAAAAGCCGATAGTAGTGAGCTTGAGAGTCCTGAAGCAAATATTATACAAAGCTTCGTTATCAACAACCATACACTCATTTGTATTTTCTACAAGCTAATGAACAGAAAAGGGTTGCATTGTATGGCTCAACCACGGTATTCGAAAACCTTTGGGGAGGGAAAGACAGAAAATGCGAGCATCATCCGGTCAAGCTATTCTTCCCTTATCTTTGAAATGGGCAAAGTACCCTTACCAGAACCAGTTCCTCCACCTAGAGTGGCAAACTTGAAATCCCTGAAGATAGTCATAGTTCTCAACCTCCTTCCTTAAGACATCAAGAACGGAATCGATAAGCTCTACAAGGACCCTTCATCTCTCTCTCTCTCTCTCTTCCTCCCGTCTTGTCTCTCTCCAGCAGTCTCTCTTCAAGATCTGATTTGGGTCATTTAGCAATGTTTTAGTATCTCAAGGCAAAAGATAATGAACAATGTTTTTGGAAGGATAGTTTTGATTAGACCTGTTCATGGGTTGGGCTGGGTTCGGGTCGGGCTTTCACTCTTCATTAACAGGTTTTTTTAAGGTTCAAGCCCGAGCCTGGCCCAACCATTGGGCCTACAACTTGGGCCCAAGCCCGAAGTCAAAAGCTCAACTTGTTGCCACTGCTATCGCTGAAGCGGTTGAACAAAGAGAAAGAGAGAGAAATTATAAAGAAAAAAAATGTATATATTAAATTATTAATATATATATTATAATAAATATTATATATTTTATATTACATAAATTAGTCAGGTCGGGCTGGGCTTTTTTAACAAATCCCAAGCCCAGCCCGAAACACAGTCGGGCTTGGTGTTTTGGGCCTAAGGTCAGGCCTGCGGGCCTAACTACATTTCCAAGCTTGATCGAGTGTCGGCCGAGCCGAGCCGGGCTACCCGGCCCATGAACAGGTCTAGTTTTAACATTTTAAAAGTTTAAAATCACATATGTCATCATGTGATATAGATAATTGACGGGCTACTAACGGTAGGTACTAAATTGACACGTTTTAAAAGTTTGGATACTAGAATGCTGCATTTTAAAGTTTTAGGACCAAAATGACACTAGACCCAAAGTATAGGGTACTAATCGGGAATTTTTCCTAAAAAATTGATGAGAATCTTCATTCTTGGCAAAGGAGAATAGCAATGAGAAGTTTAGTCATTAATAAAATTCCTTTTTTATTTAATTCTTTTTTTATTTAGAGTTATATTAGCTTGTAAAAAATATAAAGTATAGAAAAATCTCAGCCTCTAATTTAATTTTTTGGAAATTGTGGTAATAAAGTAGGACCGAGAGTTATAAAGTGGCATGCATGCCAATAGAAGGGTTGTGTAGTCACAGTTCCATTTTCATAGTATGAATTTCCACCTACTTATCATTTGCACTTTTATATGTAGAGTTTTCATAAAATATTACTCTTTTTTTGTCAATCTTATTTGTCATTTTAATAGTAGTGGAAATGTCATGTCATATATAAAACAAATTTTATTGATATAATATGCATATGAGCATGTCTATATCTATATATAAAAGTGCGAATATAAAATAAACAATTTTTTAAACTAAAATTACTCACTATTTCTTTATTTAAATTTAAGAAAGAGTATAAAAGTTATTTTAATTTATATAAATTTAAGTTAAAATTACAATTAAATTCAATAAATTACAAACAGCCACCTTATACTTTCCCATAACGTTCAAGGACTTATTTTGGTAGGGCGCACAGTTTATTTTATTTACAAAGACATTTGTAAGATGGCTCAGTATTTTGAAACTTCTTTTTCTTTTGTTAAGCGTTCCGGTAATCAGGTATTTCACTCCTCAGCAAAAAGGGGAATGAGGGAACAAGGTTATTTTTGTTTTGATTGTTGATTGTTCCCCTTGGCTTGTGCAGTTAGCTACATCTAATTCTCAGACTGTTGCTTGATCTTTGTACTGGTTTGTCATGGCTTTTAATATTAATGAATGTTTTTTTTGCTTTCTCGTCGAAAAAAAAAAAAAAAAAAACTTGAGAACACCTTGATAATGATTTCATCAGTGACTTGGGAACTGTTTTGGGTCTGATTCTTGGGTCGAATGGTCCAATCATCCGGTCCAAAAAGATGGCCCGCTCTGACAGAAAAAATTAAAAAACAAAAAACAGTCAAAAACTGTTGTCCCTTGGCTGGGTGATGGTTTGATGGTTCAGCCATTCGGGTCAACGGTTTACTAATCAAACAACAGTTTTTGGCCTAAAAGCAGTTTTGGGGTAAAACAGAACTGGTCAGGTGACCGGTTCCCGGTTTTTCCTGCCCAGTTTTGAAAACCATGCCCCACCCCACCCCACCCCACCCTGGCCCAAAAATAAATAAAAAAATAAAAATTCACCTCTTCACCTCTTTATTATTCCAGCCTTTGTAGCGACTCTCTCCATGGAATCAAGTGCCTTGATAAACATTTCGAATCACATTCAATTCCATGAGAGCATCTTCGATATCCATTCTATCTCCCTGTTTTTCCTCAGTACATGCAACTCCAGCAGTCCTGCATTTTACTCATCATGACCATCAGAGTTTCTGCATTACTGGTAGTTTGATCACCTTCTTCTTCTAAGAGTAAACGTGAATCCACGATTTCCATTATTCTCTCAGGCAAAACAACCTTACAGAAGTGATGAAGGTTTATGTCATCCCTAAACATCTCATCAGTTAGCCACCTTGCTGCAAGCATCTCCAGCAGAAGAATTCCATAACTATATATCACCATGTGTAGAAACCTCTGCACCCATACCATACTCTGCAATTGATGCATTTCATCATATTTTAGTTCCATACTTAGTATGTTCAAAGGCAAATAGGTACTAAAATCCAAGAGAAGTATATCTTCAGAGGGAAATTCACTGAGATCAGTGACCAGACCATATAAACCGGACTTATATTCTGAACTATAACCCTTGTTTACATAGGTGTTAAGTCGGTCTCAGGCTCTCTCTCAGCCCATGATCACCCCCAGTTACCAATAATCCTCATTAAGATATTAATTAATATGATCAAGATGTACTAATCCTGTTCACGTCATAGTGTTTTTGATTGCATTATGAAAACATTCACTAATGCATTGTAGACGATGAATGGAATCAGCCTTGGGGCTTAAAAGAAAAGAAAAGTAAAGTCAGAATTACTAATATAGTTGTATATAAATTATAATTTATAAAGTAAAAGAATTGCATACCTGGGGCAACGTACCCAATGGATCCCTTTATCGCCACTGAACTGCTATGATCCTTGCCAAATGTATTATGGGGCATATGGAAGAATAGGAATGGCAAGATTTTCAATGACAAAATCATCCCCCCCCCACCCCCGGCTATTCTATTTAATAATGCCAGAAGATCTTGCATCTTGGGAAGAATGTAGTAATCTTCTTACCCAAAAGGAAAGAAAAAATCAGAAGAAAGATGTTTGGGTACGATGGATACCACCCGCAAGATTTGTAATAAAGATAAACTGATGCTTAAAAAAAAAAACTGATGGTGGATCAGCCATAGGGTGTGTAGCGAGAAATGACAAAAGGGAGATATTGAAAGTAGGTGCAAGAATCAGGGTTATTGCTCAATCAATACCGCTGAGGCATGTGCCGCCTTAGAAGCCCATGAAATTGCCAAAAAGTTTACAGGCAAAAACATTATTATTGAAGGAGACTCCAAGTTAGTGATTGATTGCCTGAGGGGTAGAGATACCCCACCATGGAATTTGAAGATCATCATCAAGGAGAGTCTGAATCAGATAGCTACATTGTAAGTACGTTATATAAGCACTTTCAAATTGACACTTGTCCCTTGAAATATCCCTAATTTACTCCTGAAAAAGATTAAAGATAACTTTTAATAGTTGTTAAAATATTTATAAAGTGCTCACTGAATGTGCTTCCTATGTTGTGCTTATTAAATCCAATCTAAGAGTACTACATCATATGCGAGAAGTGGAGGCTCAGCATGCAATACATCCATGTGTTCAGAGAAGTGAATAAAGCAGTGGATTTCTTGGCAAATACAGGTCACCAGGGGATCATCTCGATAGATGTCTCGAGAAGCCAAATGTTAAACTTCATATCTGTTATGCTGACATTTGTGGAAGAGCTACGCTTAGAACCATTTAATTAGTTTGCTAGTTTAGTAGCATTAGTTTGTTGTGTTTTGTGTTGGTTGTTTTCTTTTTCTTGTTATTTGATCCAATTAATTAGGGCTGACAATTAGTTTGAGTAGTGAGTCAAGATGGGTCAAGTCACCCATTTGGGTCATAAATAAAAAAGGTCAAGGCAGATCCGGTCAAGGATACCTAGACCCCTCTAACCCATCGTCATTTACAGAGATGCTTCTCCAGTTCTCCTTGACTCCATCAAATTGCAGTTGCAGTGTAAAGAAAAATAAATCGAGTTTTGCAGATCCCAGTTTTTAGGTTTAATCATTTTAGAGAGTCAAACATTTAAAAAGATGAACTCAAGAGTTTTTGGAAATTTGAAAAGTTGATATTGCAATCACGTCACGTTTTTAAACTATTTTTCTGGGGTCAAATCTTGTCTGTTTTCCTGATTTTGGTGTCATGAGAAAATTTATGAAGTAATCTATCAAATGAGACCAAGATCTTGTAAACCATGTATGCTTTTAGAGGGTTATCACCAATTTACTAATGTAAACCTGTGGTGGGATGTTTATCCGCTTTTTAAGCCTGTATCTTGGAGTTGTTTTGGTCTGTTTATCTTTAATATGATTTCTAGTAGCTATTTAGAGTTGTTTTAGGAGTTATAATCCACATATGAATGTCTTCATGGGATACACATGGGTTTAGCAGTCATAGTGAATTTTGAAATTAATTGCCTATAAATATAGTTCTTGTAATTCAACCTTTAGAAGAGAATAAAATGAAGTAGTTTGAAGCTTGTGTATTTCCAAAGATGAAAGATCGGTGTTCTTAATATGTTTGGTTTGAAGGAAAATGTAGGGAAAGATAAGGAAATGGTTTTCCTGTCTTTCCCTTCCTTTTCCTACCTTTTCCTTCAAATCCAACATAGCTTAAAAGGTTTTTTCATCTTTCTCTCTCTCAAGGTGTAGCTTTTCTACTCTCTCTCTCTATCTCTCAAGTGCAGCTTTCTACTCTTTCTTTTCTCTACTTTCTTCCACGTTTTAGATCAGATACTTTTTTACCTCCCCATTTCTTTCTGCTATATCATATTTGTATTCTTTCTTTACCCACCATGCATACCTAGTAGAACAACTCTTCTTGTGTTACGGACCCCAGACCCAGCCCGAGCCAAGAGATGCTTGGCCCACTAAAGGTTGTCACCGACTCAACCATAACCAATTCCAGAGTCGGTTAATGCCAATACTGGGTGTTATATTGATTCCTATCATAACAACCCATCATTACCAATCATGGCTTAGCACCAATTACCATACACCATATTTGGGTAGTTATAACAGCCATCTAATAGGCTCTATAAATTGTACTCGATGTCAAGTAATGGAGATTATTGAGTATTGATTTGTTATGTTCCATCGTCTCCATCTCTCCCTGAATTAGTTGACTGCCCTCTTTGAGCGGTGCTCCCGCACTACAGCTCGGGAGATTGTGTTTTTCACTCTTCTTAGAGAAAGGCATATATCATTGTGCTACATCAAGTTCCTTGATTTGATGATCCTAAATCCCATTTCAATTGGCTGGTAGCTGATTTAACAATTCTATGGATAGAATCCATTCATTAGAATTACATCATCTCATCGTCATCTAAGCATTGTCCCAATTATATTGGGTCGGCTAAAATCAGGATCCATGACCATCAGTCTGGCAAAAGTCTTAATTCCAGCTGCCATGCTGATACAATCCTCCTTTTTTATCCGGGCTTGGGACCGGCAGTGTAAGACAAGCTCACATTGACAGAGTTATTCATTGCATCATCTAGACTAACATATGTGTCTACTAATATACTAGCATATTATGTTTGCTATACAAATCCAGAAGCATACAATTAATTGGGTGGCCATAGTGACCAAGTTGGCATGATCTTTGCTTAGCGTCTTGTAGATAGAAACTAGCCACCTCCTCTTACAAATTGTACATTTAAATTTTGGTTGGAGATAGCTCAGTCACATTGTTCAATTTCATCAAGCTTTACAGTTTCATCTTCAAAAGGTTACTACTGAAACGGGGGAGGCTTATCTTTGAGCTTCTTGGCTATTTCAGAAACATATTTGCCCTGGTAAAATGCTTGTTGTAGTTCTAATTCTGTTGGTTGGCGTGACCCATCTCCTGCAAAAGTTCCAGCACCATAAGAGGAGCCGCCCTTTACCTCATTCATCTCAAACATGCCACTCCCAAAGGTGTACCCAAGGGGAACATATATCATTCCATGGTGTGCTAATTGTGTTATGGCAGTCAATCTGCAACAATGAAAGCCAACAAAGAGCCAATATTCAAGTGCAGATAAATATTGGAAAAAATAAGGCAAAAAAGAGAAATGCAGACAAATATTTGTTACATACCTTCCAACTTTTCGGAAGAAAAAAAATCCCCGTTAAAGAACTTGAATTCACAATAAAAAGAACTTACTTTGGGATTGTTCAGCATAAATATATGTTGTCATTGAAACCTACTACACCAGTTTGTCTTGCAATGTTCCCCCTCTACCTTGTTTCACTTTTTTCTCTATTGGTCATTTTTACAAAGTACTCTCCTTCCAAGCTACTGGAGGCTTCTAAATACTATTGCTTGTTTGATCTAACGATGTTGAGCTGTACTACCTGAAGGCAAAAGATTTTGTGGCTATGTACTAGAGGAGCAGTCTTGTAGAGGCTTTGGAGTGAAAGGAATGCTAGAACTTTTGATGAAAAGTATAAACAAGTGGAGGAATTTATTGAACTGATAATGATAAGAGTATCACATTGGGTGATAGACATGTGAAATGTTCAAAGGTTTAACTCTAAATGACATTACTAGGGGTTTGGCATACGAGTGGCAGGATTTCAGATTAGAAGACAACAAAGGTAGCTGACTGGACTGTACCGGCCATTGGAATGCTTAAATTCAGTTTTGATGGGTGTTGTTATGGGAATCCAGAGTTGTCAGGTGTATGGCAAGTTGTGAGGGACCACTGTGGCAGCATATTCTCAACTTTCCAGGCCCAATTGGTCATACAGATAGAAATGTTGGCCTTGAGTCAAGGTTTGAAGATGATGGGGTTGTAGGGAATGAAAGATGTAAAAATGGAGAAAGATTGTCAAACAATTATATGATGGATAAATTCCAAGAATCAATTCCTTGGGAATTTAGGCCAATGGTGAGACAGGAACACCACCTAGGTTCCACATTGAACATCTCATTCAAGTTGGTTTCTAGAAGTGCTAAAATGCTGGCAGATTCTTTGGCAGGAGCAGGGGTGGGAAGGGATCAGTTAGAATGGAGATGTCCAGGGCCTGGGTGTAATCTGTAATACATTGATAATTGAACAACTATTTTTGTTTGTCTTTTGCTTTTCTGAGAACCCCTTGTGGGAATTGTAATATACCTTTGGGCCTTCTACTCACTTTGGTGAGTAGTCTGGTGGTTTCTTAAAGAAATTATCATCAGTCATTTATCCAAAAAGAAACTACTACTGCTTGTTTCAGAAGGCTTCTGAACTACTTAAAGAAGCTTCTTTCAGTATTGCCAACATGAATGGTGATTATTTTTTTTAACATTTAACAGCCTGTTATACCCAACTAGGAAAGAAACTTATCAGGTCTTTGTAACTAAAAATCTCTGCAAACTTCAAAGAATCACTTCAATCTTGTTAACCTCAATTACTAGAGATGTTTTCATCTTCAGAATATCAACGGCTTCTAAAGATCAAGAATGCCTCTACAAAATGCTTGTCTAATACAGATCCTAGAATTGCAAGAAATTGCCAGAAAGTGTGCAGACAACAGAAGTTGCAGCAAGACCATCCATTCTTGTAAACATATTTCTGAGGTCCTATCAAAATACTTGCAGGCAAGGACCATGAGCCACAACACAGTTGACCATCAATAGGATCTGTACTGTGTAGACAGCAATGTATATGAAGGTTGTGACCAAGCACACACGAAACTTAACTTGGAAGAGAACAATAGCCTTCAATGGTGGGTTTTTCTGAGGGAAGTCCACAATGGGCAGGACAGGCTCCACAACAGAATATCTATATCTATCTATATAAATATATTAAGCTGAAATGTGTACGTAAGAATGCCTGAGGATGAGGGAAATGTAATCAAACAGTATTTTATGCCTTTTTTCTAGAAATTACAAGAATGCCACTCTCTCCTACCAACTCTCTCTCTCTCTCTCTTGCTTTTTTTCTTTCAAATTACAAGAATGCCACTCTCTCTCTCTCTCTCTCTCTCTTTCTTATAAATTACAAGAATGTCATCTCTCTCCTTATAAATTACAAGAATGTCACTCTCTCCAACTAAGGGAGACCTTAGCTTGGCATCTTGGCTACTAGGGGACCTGCAATCAAAGGTAGTTGAGTTCGAGCTGAGCTTAAACTTCTAAGCTCAAGCTTCAAGTCTCTAATTCGAATCGAGCTCGAGCTAGAGGACACCTCAAGCATTGAGGGAGACCTCGGCTCGGCACCTCGGTCACTAAGGGAGATCTTCACTCAGCACCCCGACAACTGAGGGAGACCTCAGCTTGACACCTTGTCAACTAAGGGAGACCTTAGCTCGACTCCTCGCCTGCTAGGGAAACCTCAGCTCGATACTTCAGCAGCTGAGGGAGACCTTGGTTTGGCACCTCGACAATTGAGGGTGACCTCGGCTACTTGAGAGATCTACAATCAAAGGTAGTCGAGCTCGAACTTCCGAGCTTTTGACTCAAGCCGAGCTCGAGCTCGAGCTCAAGTCTCTAATTCGAATCAAGCTTGAGCCTAATAATTTATGAGCGAGCCCCTACAACATAGGGCCCCCTCCACTAGTAAATATATTAAGATGAAATGTGTACGTAAGAAGGCATGAGGATGAGGGAAATGGAATCTAACAGTATTTTTTGCCTTTTTTTCTTAGAAATTGCAAGAATGCCACTCTATCAACTCTCTCTCTTTTGCTTTTTCTTTTCTTTCAAATTACAAGAATGCCATCTCTCTCCTTATAAATTACAAGAATGCCACTCTCTCTCCAACTGAGGGAGACCTCAACTTGGCATCTCAGCTACTAGGGGACTTGCAGTCAAAGGTAGTCAAGTTCAAGCCGAACCGAGCTCGAACTTTTGAGCTCAAGTTCAAGTCTCTAATTTGAATCGAGCCCGATCTAGACAACACCTCGACCACTGAGGGAGACCTCGACTCGGCACCTCAGACACTAAGGGAGATCTCGGCTTAGCACCTCAACAACGGAGGGAGACCTCAGCTCGGCACCTTGTCAACTAAGGGAGACCTTAGCTCGACACCTTGCCTGCTAGGAAAACCTCAGCTTGACACTTCAGCAGCTGAGCTGAGGGAGACCTCAGTTTAGCACCTCGGCAATTGAGGGAGACCTCAGCTCAGAACCTTGGCTGCTTGTGAGACTTGCAATCAAAGGTAGCTGAGTTCGAACTTCTGAGCTTTTGACTCGAGCCAAACTCGAGCTCGAGCTCAAGTCTCTAATTCGAATCGAGCTCGAGCCTGATCACCTAAAGACGGAACAAAATAGCTTATAACTCTAGAAGAAAGACTTCCATGATAACCTCAACATAGGTGGAAGGTAATGCAGGTAATGTACAAGTTGCTTTCAACATATTTTTCTCCAACTCTATCTCCATACAAACTGAATGGATAGAATCACCAACCAGTTCTAGAAATGATATTGATTCCGTCCATTCGCAAATAAAAGCTAGCAAGGGGAGGATAACTTGACTGATTAATCTAATACTACCGGAGGCCCCTGCAACAATCTGTAATGGCTCCAGGTAGAACAAGAGGCAGGGATGTTAGAATAAAGACTAGATTCAGTGAAAATAATCACCACAAGGACCTAATCCTACAGTATCCAATAGAAAATAGATTACTAATTTACTACGACTCTTCAACATCGAGGAAACAAAAAGAAGAAAGGGACTTACGCACTAAGCTCCTGACCTCCTCCATGGAAACCAGTGCTCCAGAAGATGCCAGCAGGTTTGCCCGCAAGTGCTTGGCATGCCCACAGTTCATTGGATGCATCAAAAAATGCTTTCAACTGTGCTGGCATCATCCCAAATCGAGAAGGGAACCCAAATAGAAATCCATCAGCTTCTGTAAGTTGTTCCGGCCTGATGATTGGCACATCCCCCTCTTTGGGTGGGGCTTTCATCTTTTCCAATACCCGATCAGGGAGGGTCTCGGGCACCTGCACAATTCCAATCAACCAATGACTCGCTTCAAAAAAATTGGAGGCAAAAGGACCGGTGTTTACCTGCCAAAGCGTAGCTTCAACACCTTCAATGGAGTTGGCTCCTCGATGCACTTCCCGTGCCATAGTCACCACATGTCCGTACAGAGAGTAGTAGCTGCAATAAAGAGGAATTGGAAATTATTAATTTTAATCCAGGAAAGAGGAAGAGAAGAGATTGAAATTCAGGGAAGAGAAAATACAATAATCCGTTATAATGAAACTAAGAGTACAGTATCCTACTGTTTGCGGGTAACTTACACTATGTAGACCTTGGTGGTGGACATTGCTGCAATCGAAAGAAGAAGAAGAAGAAGAAGATTATATGAACTTCTTCTGAGTCTGTTTTAACCAAAAATCAATCCTGATGGAATGGCGTGGCGTATATCCTGCAGCGCAAAACAATCAGCGTCGTTTCGACAGAGAAAAAATCGGAAACGTGGCAAGATGGATTGCACTGTTTTTTTTTTCATCTAACAAGTGGCAAATGTAATCCGAAATTTCGAATGCGTGTGGGTCTGGTATCGACTATCGAGTCCGGGTTAGCTCAGTTGAATTTGGTTGGTGACGGTCTGTACGAACGAGTTCACTCCGGCTACGAAAGTCGGACAGCCGGGCAGTTAGGGTCGTTCATAACAAGGCCCAAACCGACTAACCCGGACCGATCCAATCCGAGTCGACCGGGTTTTCATTAATACCGGGCGATTTTGGATTGTACAAATTCATAAACTGATGGTTTGGATCGGTTTTGTTTTTCTTGTGTGAAAATCGAAATCGATCCGAACCGAATCAACTTTGTTCCTACTTAACTAAAAACTGAAATATCTGAAAATATATATTCCAATATCTATATCTAAAAAATATATATTATGAAATATATCAGATATATATTTTCAGAAAATATATATTCCAATATATTTGTATATATATTTTTGTTTATATATATATATTTCTAAAATACATATTTCAGTTTTAAATATATTTTTAGAAAACTAGGTGGCCATGGGGGGCATGGATGAACTTAAAGCCGAAATCGACTCAAATCGACCAGGTCGATTTTGCTTAACACTGGATTGGTTTCGATTTCCATCTCAGATAACTCGACCAGGTCGGATCAATTAGAAAAACCTCAGTAAACCAATCCAATCCGACCCATGAACAATCCTACGGGTAGTGATAAAATCGAAAAAGGCAAAATCTTTAATAATTCTTATTATTCCTGACAATTATTATCTTACATCATTCCTATTATACACGAAACATGATTGTTATATTTTTCAAAAATTCCTAATTTATCTGTTTTATGATCGAACACACGGACATATCCCCAATTGCTGAAGATTGAAAAATGGAGAGGATTAGACCATTCTCTCTCTCACCTAGTGTTTGAGAAAGAGCCGTCATCGCCATTGATTGACTTAAAATTGTGGTTCAACTCTGCCGCTTAGAATAAGGGGGTGCTACAGTTAATGTGATAGGAAGTTAAACTATTTTATATTTATTTTGTTTTTTTCTACATTTGTAAAAAAAGTAATTTTAGTTGGGTATTTTTTACATTTTGTAATCATGGGTTAGTTGAAAAAGTGTATTTAAAGAAGATTCTATTTGGCTTGTTTAAGAAGTTATTGTTATATGACTCTAACCAAGAGAAACTAGAATATGTATGAAGTAATTTCAGCCCTTTTTCTTGCTCTATTTTTGTTTTGTATTTTACTTCAATCTACTGTATGTAAGTCTTCTATTTCTCCATTTTGCATGCACTCACATTTAGTTAAAACTACAGCCAAAACCCAACAAGTGATATCAGAGCTACAAGGTTCGTTAGAACAAGTTTGGGTGCAAGAAAAGTTGAAGAAAATTTGTTTGTGGAGAATAAATCATGGTCAATACTAATGTTGTTAATTTCAATACAGTCCAAGTTCCTATTTTTGGTGGAGAAGACTATGATTTCTGGTATGTTAAAATGAAAACCCTATTCTTGTCCTTGGATTTATGGGATATTGTTGTCCTTGGATATGAAGAACTAGAAAATGTAGCAAATCTCACAGCAGCTCAACAAAAAGAATCGAAGGACAAGAGAAGTAAAAATGCATGAGCACTTTCAATGATTCAAAGAGGAGTTAATAAATCTATTTTTCCAAGGATAATGAGCATTGAAAAGGCAAAAGAAGCATGGGAAACACTTCAACAAGAGTTTCAATGAGACAAAAAGGTAAGGGCTGTTAAACTCCAATCTCTTAGAAGAGATTTCGAAAATATGAAAGTGAAGGAAAATGAAAGTTTAAATGACTATTTCAGTAGATTTATAGAATTAATAAATCAAATAAAAGCACATAGTGAAAATTTTGATGATAGGAGGATTGTTGAGAAGATCTTAATTAGCTTACCCGAGAAATTTGATCCTATTGTGGCTGTCATTGAAGAAACAAAGGATCTCACTGAATTAAGTGTTCAAGAGCTGATGGCATCATTAAAATCATATAAGCAAAGATTGGCACGTCACTCCGAAAAATCAATAGAGAGTGCATTCCAATTCAAGCTCAATGTCAATTCCAAAAATCATGATGGAACATCCTCAACTCATGAGCATGGAAAAGGAGACTCCTATAGAGGAGGTAGATATGCAAGAGGAAGAGAAAGAAGTAGAAACAAAAGATGACGAAGCAAAAGTAATTTTGACAGAAAATCTAGTGATGAAGGGTCATCACAGCGGTGTTCTATTTGCAAAAGAAGCAGCCATATTGATAAGGATTGTTGGTTTAAAGGAAAGACACAATGTCATTTTGCAAAGAATTTGGGCATCTACAAAAAGATTGTAGATTGAAAAACAATCAGCAAGCAAATTTTACAAAAGAAAAAAAAAAGATGAAGGAAATTTATTTTATACATGTCAAAGTGCCACGGAGGAAAACAATGATGTGTGGTTCTTGGACAGCGGGTGTAGCAATCATATGATATGGCACCCAAATATTTTTCTTGACATGGACACATCATTTGGCTCAAAAGTGAAGTTGGGAAATTGAGAAATTGTTGAAGTAAAAGGCAAAAGCACAATTGGTGTTGAAACAAAGAAAGAGAACAAATTTATACATGATATGTTATTTGTACCTGAGTTGAATGAGAATATTCTCAGTGTTTGACAACTTTTGGAGTATGGTTATTCACTCCATTTTGAAGATCTTGGTTGTACCATTTATGACCATGAGAAACATGTGGTGAAAAATGTGAAAATGAAGACAAATAGAAGCTTTCCACTAGTGTTTAATTATACAAGAAAGATTACTATGAATGCCAAAGAGATTGATGAATCTTGGCTATGGCATAGAAGATTTGGTCACCTAAATTTCAATGGGCTAAAACTGTTATCACAAAAGGAGATGGTTCAAAGGCTTCCAAACATTGAAGAAAAACATGAAGTTTGTGAAGGTTGTGCACTTAGAAAGCATTACCGACAACCATTTCCAAAAGGAGTTGCATGGAGAGCCAACAAAGTGCTGAAATTAGTTCATACCAATGTGTGTGGACCCATGAGGACTCCCTTTCATTCCCAAAACAGGTACTTCATTCTTTTTACTGATGATTATACTTGCATAACTAGAGTTTATTTTATAAGAAAAAATCTGATGTGTTTACTATTTTTAAGAAATTTAAATGTCTTGTTGAAAAACAAAGTGGTTGTTATATTAAAAAAAATTGAGAAGAGATCGTGACAAGGAGTACACTTCAAAAGAATTTGATAAATTTTGTGAAGATGAAGGCATGGAAAGGCAACTTACAGCCCGTTATACTTCTAAACAAAATGGAGTATCAGAGAGGAGGAACCAAACTGTGATGGAGATGACAAAATCCATGCTACATGAGAAGAAATTTCCCAAAAGTTTTTGGGCTAAAGCTGTAAACACAACTGTGTATTTGATGAACCGATGCCCCATTGTAACTATTAAATGAATGACTCCATTGGAAGCTTGGAGTTGAAGGAAACCACCAGCTAGATACTTGAAAGTGTTTGGTAGTGTGTGTTATGCCCAAGTTCTAAAAGTGAAGAAATCAAAACTTGATAAAACAAGTGAGAAGTGTATTTTTGTTAGCTATAATAAGTGATGAAACTTGATGAAACAAGTGAGAAGAAATCAAAACTTGATGCCCAAGTTCTAAAACACAACTGTATAGTAGAGATGTGTTGTTTGATGAGAAAGCTGTTTGGAATTGGGAGCAACAAAAAATTGAAGAAAAGCATGTTCCCGTGTCTAATTTGGAAGAGAATACAACCCAAAATGATGAGGGAACTTCTCAATCATCTCCAAGTTCAAGCGCATCCTCATCTAGCTCAACTCCAAGAAAAATGATAAGCTTGAGTGATATTTATGCAAGGTGCAATTTCTGTGTTATGGAACCGGAAAGCTTTGAAAAACTGTTAAGGAAGAAGCTTGAAAAAATGCAATGGAAGAGGAAGTTGTCATCATAGAAAAGAATGAAACTTGGGAGTTGGTTGATAGACCGAACAGCGAAGAAGTGATTGGTATTAAATGGGTTTACAAAGTGAAGCACAATTCTAATGGTTTTGTGCAAAGAAACAAAGCAAGGCTAGTTGCTAAGGGCTATGCATAACAGACCAGTGTTGATTACTTTGAAATATTTCCTCCAGTATCACGGTTGGATACTGTTAGAGCTCTCATTGCACTTGCTGCCCACGAAGGTTGGTTGTTATGGCAACTTGATGTTAAATCAACTTTCTTGAATAGGGAACTAAAAGAAGATGTGTATGTAGAACAACCACAAGGCTTTGTGATTCAAGGCAAAGAAAAAAAAGTGCACAAGTTGAAGAAGGCTCTATATGGGTTAAAACAAGCACCAAGAGCATGGTATAGCCAAATTGGTGCTTACTTTGTTGAAAAAGGGTTCATGAAAAGCAAGAGTAAACCTACTTTGTATGTGAAGAAACAAGGTATAAATGATGTTTTCATTATTGCTTTTTATGTTGATGACTTGGTGTTTACTGGAAATAATATGAAAATGATTGAAGATTTCAAAAATGAAATGGTGAAAAAATATGAAATGAGCGATATGGGACTACTGTTACATCACTTTCTTCGTATTGAAATTTATCAAGTTGATGATGGTGTTTTCATTTGTCAAAGCAAGTATGCTAAAAAAGTTCTCAAAAGATTCAAAATGCTTGGGTGCAAACCTGTAGCTATTCCATTGGTTGTTAATGAAAAAGTAATGAAAGAAGATGGTGGTAAGAAGGTGGATGAAACCTTGTATAGAAGCTTGATTGGAAACCTATTTTATCTCACTAATACAAGGTCGGACATCATGTTTGCTACCAGTTTATTGTCCAGATTTATGAACAGTCCCAATCACATTCATTTTGGGGCTGCAAAAAGAGTGCTAAGGTATATGCAAGGCACCATGGATTATGAAATCAAATATGACAGAGGAAATGA